CCATTGTTGATCTATACCCATGGTAATTTAACATAGCTTTTGAAAATAGCCATGTATAATTGATTTATCCATTAAACATGTTTATTTTCCATAGTTATGTTATGTTAGTTTACTAGAGGGTATATTGTTTGGGGGGGCCTTCACTACCCATAGATTCGGAATACCTATCAACCAGCATCAATAGGACGGAAAGATGAGTTGTAACTGTAACTTGGCTCAGTCGGAGGATCTTGGAGGGCTATAAACACAACCCCCATAAGTTGGTATATAACCTCTTTCACAACCCTCAAAAAGGGCAGAACATGAGAAATCCAATCCCATAGTCAAAATAGTGATCATTTGAACCTTTCCGTCACCTTTTGGGACCTTATAAGATAAACTAACAGAGATGTGGAAAGAAAACACCAATGAATATAGAGGGAGGCATCCATGGTTATGGTTTCCCTGAGATGTGTTGAGCCGAGGCCTGTGTGGCTCCCGATCTGGACCTTGTCTGCCATTGCCATGGATATTGTGAGTAGCTCGGCTGAAAATTTCTGGGTGATCCAGGGCGATCCGCTACGGGGGGCCAGTGAAATCCTGCACCAGTTGATAGGTGATTTCCGTGTTTTTCTCTATTCACAGGGTTTCATCCAAGGTGATGCAGGATTTTGCTGGCCCATCCACATTAGCAATGGATTTGATGGATAATGGCGTGGATTCCATGGAGGTGAATGGAGGTGAAATCAGCCGAATTGGGATGATTGTTCGGATATTGTTGCTATCTAACATGTGGGTTTCAAAAGCCATTGGGATTACGCAGCAGCCATAATTGGAAGACAAACGGAAAATGGATGTGGCGTTTTCAAAAAATGCTGGGTATGCCACTCTGACTCTGGACTGGCATTGATCACCGGAAAGGGCAAGACTTTGAAGAAGTACACCCTGAAGGATGACTTTGCCGCGAGGAAGGCCGATATGATCTTGGAGATTGGCCGCAAAATGCTTTGTGGGAAAGACCTCCAGGCCCTGTGCAAGGCGAACATCGCCATGACGAAGGAGTTGCTCTCTAAGTACTCCAACTACGGGTCGCAACTTCGTGTGATTTCTCCTATTGAAATTGGTCGAAAAAAAACGAAAAACGGTCCGGCAACGAGGTCTGCGGAGAGTATGGGGTCAAACCTCTCCCGATCTGGGGCCAGCGGGACCCGAAAGGCGACTGGGAGGAGACCAACAAAGTGAGACAAATGAAGAAAAGTCAGGGCGTACACGTAGATGAACATGTTTTTTAAAATATTTTAAAAACAAAAAACATTTAGTATGGACGTATAATCAACCAAGGACCTTCTTCATGATGATGATGATGACGACGATGACGATGACGATGACGATGATGATGATCATCATTATTATTCTGATGATGATAGTACATGCCATTAACATTAACAAGTAAAAACGGCATCACAAATCACAGTCGATTCATTATTGTTTGGATGTGATAGCGCCCAATGCCATTGCAAGACCTCCCATGACATGGCCCAGGTTGATTCATTTTCCCTTTTTTTATCATAGAACAAGCAATCCGGGAATGATTTTACAGGGACATCATTGGGATTTTCTGGGGGGTCCATATCCTTTATACCATTCAAACCCTGAGATTCCGCCTAATCCTCCTGTGATGACCAGTTGTTGTGGCATAGCTTAATATGGTGCAATAATGTTCAAGATGGGATTGTATAGATATGTAGTAACACCCCAAAAGATAGAACAAGTAATCATCACTATTTCTAGTAGAATTTACAGTACTAAGAATTTACGTTTCTGTCTTTTTGGGGTTTGTGGCTATATATCATATATCAATATATTGTTATGTAGTGTGCGTTTTTTTTGTATCCAGCTATTGTTGTATCATATTTCCCATATATTGTCTGGTTGGTGGTCTGGAACATGTTTTTTTCTCATTCAGTTGGGAATGTCATGATCCCAACTGACGAACTCCATCATTGTTCAGAGGGGTAGGTTGAAACCACCAACCAGTTAGTATACTATGATATATTATGATTATTTTGGGTTTTACCTCATTAAACCATGGTTTCCAATAGTCATTTCATCTAATGATGTTTAACAAAGGTGTTGGAAGATCCATATAACCCCATTTCATCTCATACAATCTCATTTAATCCCATATAATCCCATAGTTATTTCCAAGAGTCTATCCCTGGGCTCCCTGGAGCCTGGAAGATCTTGTTTTTTTCAGTCCACTTGCCAAGAATAGTCTATCGGGGCTTTCCTACCGAGACCAGGCTGACAACATGACTGGGGATGGGTCAGAAGATATTCTAGTATTGCATATATCTATATTAGTATTATAGTATCATTATTCTATATTAGTATTATAGTATTATAGTATTGTATGTCTATATATTTGTATAGATATTATTATAGTATTAGTAAGTATCATTCGTTGTCATGTTCAATTTATGATCATGTAGTATCATTTATTGTCATTTATCATCATTTATCATGGATTGATTATCATTTATTATCATATGACTGGGAAAAAATCCATCAATCGCAGCTATGACTTTCGGTACAGTACAGTCTGGCTACCAGGCGACTCATGACATCCAGCATTTGGCCGGAAAGCATCAGCTCCACTTAGATGGGCGATGGGATTAAGTAACTGCGGAACTGGATCATAAACATTTATAAACCATTCGTATCCCAATGTCATTTTAAATATTATCATGATATCAACTATAACGATAAATATTTACTAACTATAATATTTATAAATATTTATAAATCATGATATGAACTATATATAAATAACATCATTTACCAATGTAACTGGTTTATAAACCAAGAGTTTATATACCTTTACATCCCAATTTTTCACCAGCCGTTTATATCCAACAATATAAAGCAACTCTATGGCCCATCAGCGACTTGCATCAGCTCCAACAGAAAATCCCATGATTTGCAGAGTTTTATCGTAGCAATAATTACCATATTTGTTCTATCCCAATAGTTACCAATTGCTTAATCTATCCCAATTTATCCCAATATAATCCCAATATAACCCCATGTTTTTTGCAATCGTTACCCTGGGTCGTTCGGATTATCCACAGCAGCTCCAGGTTCCTTTCTGATTGACTTAGTTGGCACCTCGACTCCGCCTCCGGCCTTCGACAAAAACTCCGACGTCCAGCTCTTTTTGGCGACCTTTGTGTTGCACGGTGCTGTGAATTCATGATGATTTAATGGTGATTTGATGGTTTAACAATGAGTTAACAATGGTGAATAATGGGATGATGTGGGATTTACCTTCTGCTTATGTCAAAATAGCTATTGAAAATCGTCATTTATAGTTACTTTACCCACTAAGCATGGATATTTTCTACAGCTATGTTAGTTTACCAGAGGGTGTCCCAAATGGGTGTTTAAAGTGACCTCCAATAATAAGGAAAGACATGGGTAAACTCCGAATCTAAAAAGTGATAGATTGATCCTTTTCGACATCCTTTTGGGGTTTACTATAAACTAATATAGATGTGGAAAATCCACCGTGAATGTAGATTATTTTCCATTGCCTCCCTGAGAAAATCATCCACCAGGCTTTGCCGGAGATCCTCCCAGTATGGGGCCGTAACAAACGAAAATAGCTTGGTAGCAACTACAAAGTGGGGCCCCCAAGATAGCTAAGTTGGTTTATAACTACAGCTACAATAACTAGGGTTTATGGTAGGTATATTTGGTTATAAACAAACTTATAACTAGGGGGCCCCACATTGTACCAAAGGGAAACATATGGGCTTCTAAGTTGAATCAAACAGATTAAGATGGGGGAGTAGCAACCCACCGTGATATAAACATGTGATGTTTCCGTCTGGTGAAAGGAGTCCTAATGATCCTTGGGGTATTAAATTTCACGAGCTCCTGGGATTTTGTGATTTTTAGGGAATATTGGATATCAAGGTCAAGATGCAATATTTGGTGCAGTGTACGCGCACAAGGGTCGCATGAAAAAACTTAAGCGTCATGATGCGTCATGGTTTGCACGGGTTTGCACTGGATCAGCCTTCCATAATTAAATGGAATTGGTCCAATTAATCCTTCGGAAAAAAAAGACAAAAAGGTTGGAAACGGTCAGAAACAGTCGGAAACATGATCAGGCCAAAACTTGTCCAACCCGCATTTCTTTAAAAAAAACATTTCCGCGCAACGCAGTTTTTTTTTTGAAGGTCCAAAGGTGTCCAAGGGGAAACGGTTGGAAACAGTCGGAGATCGCACCTTCGCTCTGCAAAAAAAAATATGTTTCTACATAATTTTCAAACATTTTTCATTAACATATGCTACAAAACAATACTTTTTTGCCGAGCGAAGGTGCGATCTCCGACTGTTTCCAACCGTTTCCCCTTGGACACCTTTGGACCTTCAAAAAAAAAACTGCGTTGCGCGGAAATGTTTTTTTTAAAGAAATGCGGGTTGGACAAGTTTTGGCCTGATCATGTTTCCGACTGTTTCCGACCGTTTCCGACCGTTTCTGACCGTTTCATTTTTTCTGAAGGATTAATTGGACCAATTTCATTTATGGAAGGCTGATCCAGTGCAAACCCGTGCAAACCATGACGCATCATGACGCTTAAGTTTTTTCGTGCGACCCTTGTGCGCGTACACTGCACCAAATATTGCATCTTGACCTTGATATCCAATATTCCCTAAAAATCACCAAATCCCAGGAGCGCGTGAAATTCAATACCTTGGGGAAGTCTCGGGACGACATGAGAAAACACACAGTTTCCCAAGAAAGCGATCTGCAGATGGATACGAGTTCCATATTCAAGCTAAACTGTTACTTAACTCAATATGATCAATATTTGAACGCTATGTGATATGTGCTTGTGATTTCCAAAGGTATATGATACCCCTCTGGAAAATTATTAAGTAGCAATGGAATAATCATCATTTGAATAATAATCAACAGTAATACAACAATTTTCCATTGATAAATAGATAAATCAGGCATATTGCCCTACTTAGGTGACTTTGGGATAGACTCTCGGTGCAAAATCTGGACCTCCATCATCCCTTGGGCTTTCCGCTGGCACCCCAACAAGTGTACAAGCTCCTGGTAGGTGTACAACAATACCCGGACTCTGCACGCAGATCAAGGATGAATGGATAATTGGATCCGGAACGCGGAGAGTTGACTATCCCGAACCTACTGGCTTCGTTCTATCTCCGGATCGCAAAAGTAATGCATGCATCATTCCATCAAATGATGTGCTTCTGAAGACAGCGCGGATATGGCAAGCCAGGAGGTCTGGTTCTGACATTGTAGCAGAACAGTCCAACAGCGGAGAGAACAGCTCCCCAAAATACCGGCGTGGATGATCCAGGAAGTGTTCTACAAAGCCAATGAACTAGCAGCTCCTCTCTGGGCATATTTGGGCAGGAGACCATGTTTAGGTCAGACATTGGTCCGTTCTCGATGACGCTATGATAGCTATGTTGAATCAGAGTGGAGCTGGAACTTGGATGTCCCGACGGTGAGATTGTTAATGGGAATGACTCATTTGATGGATTTGATTTGATCGATTTGATGTTTTGTTGTTTATTTTTTAAATGTTTAATTATGTTTTCTATTGGTTGATGTTTGGTTCATTCGATTGATCTGACTGAGTTGATTGATGTGTTGTGATTGACTATAGTTTGATTCCATTGATTTGAATGATTTGGTTGATTTGATTCATTGATTCGTTGATTCATTGTTTGGTTGATTGGCTGATTGGTTGCTTGGTGGTCAAGTTACATGGGTTTTGCTGTATTTCCCCAACAAATGGGATGGTCATTTCTTTTCATTGACAGTGCTATCCGGTGGTTAGGAGGGAGCGATTTGGAGCTAGGGGTGTTCATATTCCCTATAGATTCCCTATTCAACGGGGATCCAATTAGCTACTTAGAGGTTCCCAACCATCTAATAGCAGTGGTTCATATACCAACTATTCCCTTCCCCCCCAATCTGTGCGATTCATGCCCCTCCAGAATGCCTGGTTTGCTGGTTTGGTATTGGATCCCTTCATTTCGGGTATGGAACGTCCCTCAGGTTTTGGTGTCCGCCGTGTTTAGCTTATTTGTGCCTCGGCGCTTGTGGAAGGCCGTTGGGTAACGGGAAGGCTGTTCAGATCCATTCAGCCTATGCCGGGGATCAAAATGACAATGGCAATGACTCAATGAACACCTGGTTGGTGGTTTGGAACATGAATTTTATGACTTTCCATTCAGTTGGGAATGTCATCATCCTAACTGACGAACTCCATCATTTTTCAGAGGGGTAGGTATACCACCGACCAGATTATTTTGTTTAAAGCAAACTGAGAAACAATCCAGTTGGATAGAGGAACGGCCGGTCGAAAATCCACAATCGTTTTGCAAAGACCTTTCCCAAAGGGATTGCAAGAAAGACCACCCAAACGGTAGCTATATTTGATTACAACTATATAGGTCAACTGGTTTTTACTTCATGGGCACATCGAAGTAGCTTGATGGGTGAAGCCAAACCAACAAACATACTGTAACTGACAGGTCCCTTGCCTGCATGTTCAGTTGGATTATTTGGTATGTGCCCGCCTTGTTTTAAAACTGGAGCTCCAAAGCGTGGCACCGCCACTGCGTGATAAGCCCTTTGGATCGTGGTTGTTGGTGATTAAGATTCTCCCACTTAACATCCGTTAACCAGATTCTCCCACTTAAGGACCATATTATATCCCACGAATTTCCACTATATCTTTATTTGTGGTGAAATCCCCATTTTGGTTGTGTAATCCCCAGATGACTGGGTGGTTCAGAATCCCCCAACTAGTCTCTCATAGCATCAGTAGTCCTAAGAAGCTTGCAATAGGCTATCGGTCAGAACCCTGGCTCCCTGGTGAACCAGAAATTGGCTTGCAAATGAATGTTCAATGCCCCAAAATGTGGTAAAAATATCACTTTTGAGCCATCCCAATTTTTTTGACATGTTTGGAGTTCCATATTTTCTTGGAAGATGGTGGGCAGAGGGATATACCAGCAGCAGGGAAAATGACAGTGGCCAACCCAGAACGGTGAATTGGGGACTGATCACCATCATTGATCCTCCAAAAAGTTGCCCGTGTGTACTGTCCAAAATGCAAACGTTTCCCCTAAAATGCATTGAACAGTAAACCACTATTTCTTAAGGATGCTATCCCCTATTTGGTTTATTGGAAACGCACGGCTAAGCCCCAAAATCAACCCCTAAATGCTTCCTAATAAGAAGGTACAGCTGGACCCACAGGGTGGGCAATTAACATAGACCCTGCCTAGATTTCTAGGGGCTATGAACCCCATTATAGCTCACTTGGTATGATGAATAAACCAACGTTTGTCCAAACATAGAGTGCTGCAAGTTTTTGTGGTTAGTTTTGATGGTTGAAGTTGATGGCTCATCATGCTTTCGTGATCAAATGTCCTTTTACTCGATCACCACAAATTGGGGGGTCAATCTTTCGCTTCCAGATGCAGCCTAATATCAAATATATATATATATATTTATATCAAAGTGGGGCCCCCAAGATAGCTAAGTTGGTTTATAACTACAATAACTAGGGTTTATTATGGTAGTTCTGACTATAGTTAGATTGGGTTATAAACCAACTTATAACTAGGGGGCCCCACATCGTATATATTCATATTAATTTATCTATCCCATATGATTGGATTCCATGGACATCCATGAAATATACACCTGTCCATTTTCTGGTTAAAAAGAATGGGACAAGATATCTATAAGAGATCAATAGTTAATATACCATTCACCCTCTGGTAAACATACAAAAAACTATGGTAAATCACCATTTTCAATGGGTAAATCCACTATAAATGGGCCATTTTCTATAGCTATTTTGACATAACCAGAGGGTATCCATATCTATCCCCTTAAACAAAAACATCTTCGTTGACGCGGCTGAGGTTCCCATCCATTTTGAGTTTCCTGGTGCATTTTCGAAAGCTGAAGCACCACGGCCATCTACTTGAAACTTGGCGCAAGGCAATGTTTAGATAGGTGAGCCGCCCGTTTTTGATCGCTAAGTTTTTGTTTTTTAACTTTAGGCAAAATTTGTTCGTGGATATAATACTTACAGCTATCTATACTAATGGGATTTATCAACCAACTTATAACATCTTAAAACTAGGGTGCCTCTCCTTGTACAATGTGGATGAAGGTACAAACCTATGGTGATAGGTGATTTAGCCATGACATGATGGTTATTTAATCAACACAGATTTGAGATGTTGCCATCTATAGTAACTTCTGTAACTCTATAATTTGTATATATATATATACACATATATGTGTATTACATTGTATTATATTTACATATAGATATATAATTTATATAACCAAAAATGATCTTGATTGCGGTTCAAATATATGTTCCGTTCTTCAACCATCGCCATCGTTAAACGGAACGATTCTCATCCCATCGGTTTAGGCGGTGCTTTGGAACCGGCCAGTGCGGCCTGGAAAGTGATGGATCGATCACCATGTGTGCAAAAAACCACTGGTTCACCCACTACCGTACCCTCTGATAAACATACAAAAAAACTATGGAACATCACCATTTTAATGGACAAATCAACTATAAATGGCCATTTTCAATAGCAAACTGTTAAATTACCAGAGGGTAACGGATAATCTTTTTTTTACATGGTTAGTGGTTTTTCACATCTTGGATCCACTGGCTTGTACATACCCACAATGTACACCCGGTTATAAGTGATGGTATGTTCACCCACTACCTTACCCTCTGGTAAACTAACATAGCTACTGATAATGGTGATTTATAGTGGATTTACCCATTGAAACATAGTTATGTTAGTTTACCAGAGGGTTAACATCTTATGACATCATATAACGAGTTTTGTACATACCCTGAGCAATACCCAGAGTGATGGTGTTGTAATGGCTTCTGATTTTACCATTATGATACACATTTTCCACCACCCAGTCATTGATTTTCCGAGGAGTAGCGGCAGTTGGTATGGGTGTTCAACGGCTGAAGAGTAAGATTTTACCAATTGGTTTTGTCTAACAATCATCACCAACCTTTGATGGGTAGTTTAATCCTCCATTTTTGTTTGGTTATATATGTCAATAATAATAACAGCCAGCAACATATTCTGATTGGTAATTTGGAACATTTTTTTGTTTTCCATATATTGGGAATAATCATCCCAACTGACTTTCATATTTTTCAGAGGGGTTGAATTGAAGCCACCAACCAGATTTTAATTGTAGACAATCAAAGATTGACCATGCAATAGTGTACCCCAAAATCGTAAAACGGTTGATCATCAGTTTCCCGAACTTGCCGATGGCTCGCATGAATCCCATTTGTGTTGGTTAAATATGGGGGTTTCCTAAAATGGAGGATCCCCAAGTCACCATGGGTGTCAATACAAGAATTGGATGATTTGGGGTACCCTTTATTTAAGGAAACCTTTAATATACTGCTTGATGATTAAACAAAATCCACGACTTCGATGTTTTTTTCACTCTGATTTCTATGGTGAAGCACTTTCCCCTTTTATCCAATGGTTCAAGCGCCTTCTTACCAGTGACACACCAATTAATCTACACGTAAGGAAGTGCTTGCTAAACAGCATCAGTTAATTAATGCGTCTTACCAGCACTTTTGTAGACATGTTTCGTAGCAGCACTTTTCTACACCATGATTGATTGGTGGTTTGGAACATTTGTTTCCATATATTGGGAGTAATCACCCCAACTGACTTTCATATTTTTCAGAGGGGTTGAAGCCACCAACCAGATGAGTTTTCCATCCCTCTTAACATGTTGAAGTGACGATGGACAGCTGAAAGGACAAGATGGCGACCTTTGACTTTCGATCGGCAGCTCAGCGCAGTCGAGTTTGACGGAGCTTTACCTAGCGAAAATCACAGGGAAATATAGGACATCCTGTATAAATGAAGGTTTCTATGGGAAATTCATAGGAAAAGGTGGACACATCTCGGAATTTCTGTATAAACGGAGGTTTAGTTTGCTGGGAAAATCATAGGCACATATGGAAACATGTTCATTGCCAAGTTTGATTAGCGAGGGCACTGGTGAAGATCCAAAGTTTACCCATAGGTTGTAGTTTGCGGGGTGAACTTTAGGCAACTAATTAGTTCATCTATAGGAATATCTTCAAGAACAGGTATTTCATAGGATGGTTTAAAATAGGCTTACTTAAAAATAGGGAATTAACCATTAAAAAAATGGATCGAAGCAATGAAATGAAGATTTCAGATATTCAATGTGATCCGTGTTTTTTTTCCCGGGCTGATCATGGGAATTCAACCCTTCCAAAACATCGCTATATCATGAGCCCTAAATTTATGTCGTTGCTGGTTGTTGCTTAGCATCCCCTGCTGAAACACTGGAGGATCATTCCATGAATCGTACCTTGTGAATATAATACCCTCTGGTAAACATACAAAAAACAATGGAAAATAACATTTTTTCATGGGGTAAATCATTTCTATGGCCATTTTTCCACCATTTTTAATGGGGAAATCAACGATTTCTATGGCCATGTTCAATAGCACACTGTTGACATAATCAGAGGGTAACCGTGGTGATCTCAAGTCCCTATTTGGTGTTTAGCCAAGAAAGAATGGCTGTCAAAGGCGACCCCATGGAGATAATGATAATTAGCGTGGTACACACAACGCAATCATCTTGCATTTTTTTGGATTGTTGAATCACAGCGCATTTCTGGTAAATTCGGTGAATTTATGTTATTTCCACAGGGAAATCCTCGTCCAAAATTATGACCCCTGCCATGAGATTTTCAGGCAGATTTTAAGGCAAGAACTCATACCTGAAAATCGGGTAACCCCAAATTTGATGTTTTATCATCAGTTTCCCTATCAAAATGGTCACATGTTAACCCCACTGTTGGACCACCTACATGAAGCGATAATTTCCCTGCACCAGGCGCAATGCAAATTGGAGGGCGACCGAACAGTGATTCGACAACAGGCCCGGAAATGCCAACGGTTTCAAGAAAAGAACATCGACAACAGGCCCGGAAATGCCAACGGTGTAAGAGCTATGTAACTATATGTACAATACATTGGGTTGTCTCCTCACTGGATAGTGAAGGAACATCCATAAACTGGTGATGCTTCAATCTCTGAAATATCGCGAAGGTAGCCAGAGATGATAAGTTTCACGTCATCATACATGGCTGGCTGGGAAATCATGGCTGCAATGGGCTGCAAGTTTTTTTCCCGCGAGGCCATGTTTTGTTTTTTCATGCCGGAGGGTCATTCCGTCATTCCATTGATCACCATAGTATGAACCATATATATAATATGGTGATATATTATTCATATTTTTCCCCACCTGCCAGGTGAGGGTTGTTAGATTTTATGTCAGTTGCCTCCTCCTCCTCCTCCTGCTCCTCCTCCTCCGCCTCCTCCTGCCTCGTCCTCCTCTCCTCCTCCTCCTCGTCCTCCTTGTCATCCTTGTCGTCCTTGTCGTCCTCGTCGTCCTCGTCGTCCTCGTCGTCCTTGCTCAACTGCGACCCGCGATCCACAGTGTTCTCTGCCGGACCTCAACCACGACCACCCACGCCCAGTGTTCCCTGCCGGACCTCAACCACGACCATCCACGCCCAGTGTTCCCTGCCGGACCTCAACCACGACCACCCACGCCCAGTGTTCCCTGCCGGACCTCAACCACGACCATCCACGCCCAGTGTTCCCTGCCGGACCTCAACCACGACCATCCGCGCCCAGTGTTCCCTGCCGGACCTCAACCGCGACCATCCACGCCCAGTGTTCCCTGCCGGACCTCAACCGCGAGTATCCACGCCAAAAGATATGCCACATAGAGTGCCAGAAGATATGCCAGATAGAATGTTAGAAGATATGCCAGATAGAATGCCAGAAGGTATGCCAGATAGAATGCCAGATAGAATGTCAGCTAGAATGCCAGAAGATATGCCAGATAAAGTGCCAGAATGTTTGCCAGATAGAATGCCAGCAGATTTGCCAGATAATATGCCAGAAGATATGCTAGATAGAATGCCAGATGGAATGCCAGAAGATTTGCCAGATAATATGCCAGAAGATATGCCAGATAGAATGCCAGATGGAATGCCAGAAGATATGCCAGAACATATGCCAGAAGATATGCCAGAAGATATGCCAGAACATCTGCCAGAAGATATGCCAGAACATCTGCCAGAAGATATGCCAGAACATCTGCCAGAAGATATGCCAGGTAGAATGCCAGAAGATATGCCAGATAGAATGCCAGATCGAATGCCAGAAAATATGTCAGATAGAATGCCAGAAGATTTGCCAGTAACAAAATGTATAAATGTCATGGTGGGGATCACACGAAGTAAAGTAATTTTAATGATATTTGATGACATTTCTCATGATATATATATGATATTTGTATAATTATATGATATATTCATATTATGAATCATGGAAAATACCATATTCATAAATTATGAATAAGCAGATTTCACCCAGAATTTTCGGAGAATCCCACCTCAGTGAAGCGTGCCGCGCAGGAAGTGTTGGATGATCCATATGAAAAACTCGCAGAATGCGGGTTGTTTTTCTGGATATACCCGAGGGGGTTATTTAACGTAGCATCGGAAAAACTCGAATCAATATAATTATAATATATGGTAAGTCACCATAAATATATAATAATAATTTAATATTATGTATAAATCATCTAAAGATGAGTCGCTGTTCACAGCCATGTTAAATAACCAGAGGATAATGGTTACAATGAGATATATGTCATTGGTATATATATATATATATATCATGATGGATAATTCATCTTTATGGGATAGTTCATGTTTTTTTTTAGTGTGTCAGTATGTGCATGTATATACACACATATATATATATATATATATATTCCCTGATATTCCCCATAAATTCACCGGTCATATACCCATGAAATATCCCGATCAGCCAGGTTTTAAGACTCTTCGAAACCGAACAGAGACCAATCGTGGCTTGGTTTTAAGCAATGTACCTGGACACCCAGTCCCAACCAGAAATAGCCATATCCGGAGATTTTTTGTGAAGGTTTTTAATCATCATGTCATTCTATTCATGAGTCTCTTCTGAACTCATGAGGGATCAGAGACAGAACTCTGAAAGTCTTGGTAATGAATCACTGTAATGAAAACATGTTTTTGAAGCCGGTTTTTAATTTAAAGCTGCAGAAAAGGTGTGAATCCTTGTTCGTAACTGCTACTTGTTTGGGAGTGCTGGCTCAATACAACATGCAATACAATATTTTAGCTTTTTAAAATCTCTCTGGAGTTACAAGAAGGCTGCCTTGATAGTTGTGATTGGTAAATGGCTTAGTGCAGGTATGAATCCTTTTTAGGACACTCATTCAGTACAATGGGGTTATTTGCGTTACATAGTGGTAAACCTAAAACCCATTTTCCATGACCATTTTCACTTTTGAATGGGTGGTATACACCCTCCAATTCATTGGAGCTTATTCATTGAGTCTACCACATTACATTTGGATGAATTTGATCATGACCTCACGTCGTGACTTCAATGGAATCATCCCCTTTTATGGCCTTGTTATTTCAGGTATTTTCAGTGAATCAGTATAATCCAGCCAGGTTATTCTATGAGTGATTGGTTGATGTGGGAGACCATATAGAACCTCTATTGGTTATTGATGATCATTTATATATATATATTATAAATATATAAATAACATAACTATATATATATATATAGTGTTGGCTGCTTCATAGGCTTTCCCCATCAGAATACAATCTCGAAAGAAATCACATGGGCAAGGGAACATTCAATTTGTTTTGCAGAACGCAGGAACTTTACTCATATCCTACATTATTGTGTTTTTTTGAGCTCATTCTTTCTGACCACAATTTGAATCAACAAACGCAAAACGTATGGAGGTTTCCTAAGTCATGCGGATATCCCAAAATCATCCCAGTCATGGATGACCATGACTTCGTATTAAAAGTCGTGTTGACTTGGGCGGAGGATGAAAAGATGTCAAATGTTTCACCGCCAGCAACGTGGCACATGAGATTCAAGCAGCGGGGTAAACCGGTGGCTTTGGTATTTCGTATGGGATTTCAGATGACTTTTGGTGATTTTTCCGGGAACAAATTGTGAGGTTTCATGGTGATTTTGTCCTGGAATTGAGTTTGGGATAGAAGTGTAGTTGGGGTTATTTGTCCCAACATCACTGGAGGATACTGGAGGGCTTACATAAGGGCTTACGACAATGATTACATCATCTAAAGAGATATTGTTTGGGATATTCGGACATATTGATTCACCATGAAAATGGAGTTACCAAGGACAATGGCTACAAACTAAAGTGACAAAGCTACCCGATTTTATCAGGAATGTGTTGAGATTCAGCAATCCCCGAGTGTATATACATCATATATAGTATTAGACTATGGAGCCGGCTTTTCAGAGTGACAACTGTCGCATTTGCAAACGCGACTCTGGCAGTTCCTATCGACCAAGAGAAATACCACAAAACAACACCACAAAAAAAACAAAAAACAAAATCAAGTGCCATCAGTCAGAATATGTCAATTATAGTTCAATCATTAGTCGTTAAATATAATATATACTTATATATATATATATTTGAAGCGTCGATTATTGCAACCATTGTTTCAAGCCATAGTATTTCAGCCCTTCTATCAGAATTAACCATTCTCAACCATTTGTGAGCTTTTCCAAGTAGCATTTGTACACATGAATTACCTTAAGTGCAATTGAAACCTGTCTTACCAGTTGTTTCTATGGTTCTTTCTATGGGATTATACATTCCATAAATGGGGTGAGGTGACTTACCCCAGCACCAAGGACATCCACAAGGAGGACGAGATCATCGACCGCTTCAATGCCTACGTCCGCGGCCCGCTGCACGATTCGCTCATGTGCTCCATGGGGCGAGAAACAGACACCTGTCAGGAGTGAAACGGAAATGATAGGTGAGCCATTTGTCACAATTCCATTGTAGATATTGTACTATAGATTGTTTTTACAATATCTACAATGGAATTGTGACAAATGGCTCACCTATAGTAAAAATGGCTCATCCGATTGTTTAATTGGGGGATTATACTAGTTACTTAGTTTATTGAGATGATAAGCCATAGTAGGGATACCGGTATCGGCCCAGTATAATGGGATGGGGCCGCGATTTTTGGTCATGGACATTGCGATTTTTATTTTGGCTCAGGTGAAAGTCGGTGAACATGAAACTTAAATCTGGTTCGTGGATTGGAACATTTGGATTATTTTTCCATATGTTGGGAACAATAATCCCAACTGACTCATATTTTTCATAGGGGTAGGTTGAAACCACCAACCAGTTAAATGGACCGTTTCAGTTCAAAAGGCGACGTTTCACTCATGTTTCATATGGTCGACTCAGTTGACCTCATTTTTCCTCTGCTGAGCAATGTTGAAGATGAATTCTTCAATGGTGAAACATATCAAGAATGTGGGCCCCCTAGTTATAAGTTGGTTTATAACCCAATCTAACTATAGTTATAACTACCATAAACCCTAGTTATTGTTGTTATAAACCAACTTAGCTACCTTGGGGGCCCCACTTTGAAGGACTGTGGTAGTTGTTGGTTGACAAATTAATTGGTCTTTTAAATGATGAGCATGAAGAAAACTGGTTGGTGTTTTGGAACATGTTTTTTTAATATGATTTTCCACATATTGGGAATTTCATCATCCCAACTGACGAACTCCATCATTTTTCAGAGGGGTTGAAACCACCAACCAGTAAATGATGAGCATGAAGGAAACATGTTGGAATGATGAAGCTGTGTAACGATGATCGAAGGAAGTTTAGAAGTCAAACTTCCGACAATATGGACAGATGAAAAGCAGAGCAGGGAAGAGGCAGAGAGAAGAGAAAGATTAGAAGAGGGAAGATCAGAAGAGAAAGAGTAAGAAGAAAGAAGATGCAGATGCGCGAAAAGGTAGGAAAGTCGCGAAACACTGTGTTTTTCCAATGATTTGTGGCTCCGGAGGGTCGTTTGTAGGCTCGCTAAAGCGGCGGGCGCGGAGCCAGCTGGCCACAGGAGCGATGAAAAATTGCACGCCGTTGTGGCGCGAAGCACATTTCCAAGTCAAAATGTACAAAACACCTCAGCGTCGGACCACTTTTGGAAGTTGAGATGTCGAAAAAGTGCACGCCGTTGTGGCGCGAAGCACATTTCCAAGTCGAAATGTACAAAGCACACCAGGTTCGGACCACTTTTGGAAGTTGAGATGTCGAAAAAGTGCACGCCGTTGGGGCGCGAAGCACATTTCCAAGTCAAAATGTACAAAACACCTCAGCGTCGGACCACTTTTGGAAGTTGCGATGTCGAAAAAGTGCACGCCGTTGTGGCGCGAAGCACATTTCGAAGTCAAAATGTACAAAACACACCAGGTTCGGACCACTTTTGGAGGTTCAGATGTCGAAAAAGTGTCAAAAAAGTGCACGCCGTTGTGGCGCGAAGCACATTTCGAAAGTGTAAAAAACTGAGGGTTTTGAGCCTTTTTTGACGTGAAAATGTCGAAAAAGTAATCCCTTCCTCCTAATACTAAACGTCCCCCTAATACTAAAAACAGGCATCCATCTCCAATTTCCGAAAATTTCAGTTTGGCCAATTTGACTTTTAATTGATCCCCTTTAAAAAACAATTTAAAAATCAACCTACCATTTGCGGTTTCTCCCCCCTAATACTAAAAACTAGTTCACCCCGGGGTGTTTAGTATTAGGGGGGCCTAGTCCCAATCCCTCACTCCAAGCTGCCTGGCTACTCTAGCAATTAGGGGTAAGCTTCGAACTGCCATTTTTGGCAATATTTTAATCGCGTTATATAAGGAAATTTAATTGATTTTGAGATCGGAAAAAATAGTTTTTAGTATTAAGGGTTTTAATTTAGTATTAGGGGTAAGCTTCGAACTGCCATTTTTTGCAATATTTTAATTGCGTTATATAAAGAAATTTAATTGATCTTGAGATCGGAAAAAATAGTTTTTAGTATTAAGGGTTTTAATTTAGTATTAGGGGTAAGCTTCGAACTGCCATTTTTGGCAATATTTTAATTGCGTTATATAAGGAAATTTAATTGATTTTGAGATCGGAAAAAATAGTTTTAGTATTAAGGGTTTTAATTTAGTATTAGGGGTAAGCTTCGAACTGCCATTTGTGGCAATATTTTCATTGCATTATATAAGGAAATTTAATTGATTTTGAGATCGGAAAAAATTGTTTTTAGCATTAAGGGTTTTAATTTAGTATTAGGGGTAAGCTTCGAACTGCCATTTTTGGCAATATTTTAATTGCGTTATATAAGGAAATTTAATTGATTTTGAGATCGGAAAAAATAGTTTTTAGTATTAAGGGTTTTAATGCATGAATAACTAATTAACATGACTTCGATTTGGTTCCCTAATAATAAATACCCCCCTAATACTAAAAACTACCTGCCGTGTTTTGTATTAGGGGGGGGGGGTTAGTATTAGGAGGAAGGGATTAGACACTGATTAACTTAACTAACTTAACTAACTTCACTAACTTAACTACCCTAACTTCGACGACAACAGCAACAGCAACAACAACAACAACAATAACAACAACAACAACACCAACCACAACAACTACAACTACAACAACAATAGATCGATAGATGGAGAGATAGATAGATAGATAGATAGATAGATAGATAGATAGATAGATAGATAGGTAGATAGATAGATAGATAGATACATAGAAAATAGATGGGTAGGTAGGTAGATAGCCAGAGAAAGAGAGAGAAAGAGTGAGAGAGATCAAGCACCTTTCAGTCCATCAGTGGCTTCGCTCTGCCATCCCTGATTCACAACAACAAATTTCTCCTATAGGTTTCCTATTTTTGAAACTTCCGCCACCGCCTTGTGCGGTACTACTGGTACGCTATGTTCAGCCTGGATAAATCACCCGCCCACATGGATGTCCCGAGTCTTTGGGGCCTGGGGCGTCAAATCAAAGATGGAACATTTATTCACAAAATATACGGAACATATTGGAAGATCAGAATCTGCAATAGGACAATCATCCTTAAATGGGCCATTTTCCTTAGTTTTTTTGACATAACCAGATGGTATTTTTCCATTTATCCGGACCAAACCTGTGGTCTCAACTGCCGATGATGGAGGCATTCGAACATCTACAGGTATATTATAAGAGTCAAAAGAAACATCATTTTTCCCAGACCTTGGCACATGTTGTGTTATTTTTGTTCACTTTATTATTTTGATTCAACATACAATGCTTCGGCAAGCCGAATGACTTGAACCCTATATATATATATATATACTTTTTTTAAACATATACCATACCTGGTTGGTGGTTTGGAGCATGTTTTATTTTCCATTTCATATATGGGATAATCCTTCCCATGGACTTTCATATTTTTCAAGACGGTTATTGCACCACCAGCCAGATACTGCATGAATCACTATTAATCCATGCGAACCGCCAAAATGCCAAAGTTCTGAGGATATTTCCTGGAAGCTGTGTGCGGTGTCGTTCCTACCGTTGATGTTCAATTCGATGGTGACTGGGCGGAATTGGCAACTCTACCATGGTCGTGTCCCATGGTTGAGTTGGCCCATAACCAATATTGGTTGAATCAATGGGAATTCCAGGATCCAACAGATTGGAGGTACTGTACCATATAAGACCATATTTTGCGGGGATATTCCCTCACATAGGCCTTATATATGGTAGGTACCTCCAATCAATCGGATCCTGGAATGGCCATTGATTGGAGGTGATTATACTATAGTTGATGGGGGTTACCCTCTGGTAAACTAACATAACTATGGCAAATCACAATTTTTCATGGGAAAACTCACTATTTACACGGCAATTTTCAATAGCTTTTTGTATGTTTACCAGAGGTTATAACTTATAAACCAACTTATACTTGGGGGGTTCACCACAAAGTAGCCATATGACCAGTAGAATGTGGAGACATCGCCAGCTCATGAAAGTTCTCAATGTGGCACCGCTCATCTGAATATCAGGTGTCCAAATTACATAGGCCATCATAGGCCATCATAGGTCATTCATAAAAACTGGGATTTTGTGGTGATTTAATGGGATTTAATGGGATTTTATGGTGGTTTACTGGGATCTAATGGGATTTACCCTCTGGTGAACATACAAAAAACTATGGAAAGATCCACCATGCTATTCATGGGAAAATTCACAACATTTCAATGGTGATTTTCCATAGTTTTCTGTAAGAAATTACCAGGTAGGTGCCTCAAGCATATCAGGTTTAGCTATATCTCAGATTCATCCTGGTTCATCCTGGATACAAGCCCATACTATCCATGCACAGATATACAGATGTGTATACCCATAGTGTATACATAATAATACATCTATAGGATTCTCAATTTACCCAAATATTTCTGATCTATAGTCTAAACATATTACACATACTATATCATACATACTATACATACTATACATACTATACATACTATACATACTATACATACTATACATACTATACATACTATACATACTATACATATTATACATACTATACATACTATACATACTGTACATACTATAATACCATATATACATCCTATATGTAACCTATATTGTATATATTTGATATATATACTATACATATATACTCATATATATATATATATATATTTATATATACGATATGTTTTTGACATGTCGGCTTTGCCTCTGAGGTGAGCATCTTAGGCTGCGACGGATTCGAATGTGAGATCTCGGCCAGGCAGCAAGGCTATGCCTCGGTCCAGCAATACATGGGGATGAACGCGGCAATGTGCCACGGCCGAAAAATGCTGGAGAAAATCTCAGACAATCTGAGAACATGCTGGAGAAAATTGGTAAAAATTGGTGAGAATTATAAGATATGATGGTGTCAATATATAATGGGTGTTTTTTTACCATTGGTGTCGGATTTGACTGGTGTTTTTCGGAAAAGGTGCAAAAGTAATGTCAGATTAAACGTAATGTCAGATTAAATCCATGTTTCAAGAATTTCTAACCTGTGATTCTTTGTTTTTGTTTGAATATGTTTTAGCTGTGAATTCCTGTTGTTCAATGTGTTTGCATCACCGTCAACTCGTGAAACATCTTTTTTTAGCACCAAATGGTAAGATGTGGCAGGTCTTTCCAGTCAAGTCCTCCATATTTGGGATGTTGACGAGCAAATATGTGAGATCTTTGGCATTTGGGCTGTAATACGATGTTGATTTATGGTGACGATTGGGGCAATCATCCAACGATGGCCTCAAATCTGGATCCAATTTTCCCGGATATGATGGAGCAACGAAACTGGAAGTACCTGTCAATGGTTTCATGTTATTTCATGTCCAAATATATGTGTGTATATATATATAGAGTTGTATATAGGTTATATATATATATATATGTATATGTACAGCTGTATATGTTTGTTTGATTTCATATGGATTCTCTGAACGTGGGTTATATACTACAATTTCGAAAATTATGACGATCCATGGGAATTGGGGTTACTCAACCATTCTTGATCTCAGGTGTTTATCACAAGACTGACTGTTTCATATGTAATTATATGTATACACATACAGTATGATTATTCGTGAAACAATAGTTATTCAATAGTTATTAGGAGTTTTGTACCAATGGTTGATAGTTCATATTAGGATCTAGTGGTTTTGCGCAAAATCCCAGATCTTTCTCAACGTTTCCCGCGCTACAAGAAACCAGGTGGGCGATGGCTTGTTTGTTGTGTTATCCCTCGGTGCACCCGTTGACACTGCGAGTGCTGCACATCATCACTACTGGATGCTCGGTTCGAAACACCAGATCATGTGGGTAAATTATATAACTACAAAGTAGGGCCCCCTTCTACGTTATGTTTGTTGCTTTATAACCCCATCTAACTAGTTCGTTATAACTACCACAGTGACCCTCCAGTCTCCTCCAGTGATGTTGGTTTATAATCAATGCGAATTTCAGGATACGTAAACGTACCATATTTTTGGCGATGTTTTCTGGGGATATTCATCCCTGAAATTTAGGCCTAAAAATAGGCCTAAACTAATGGTAGGTACCTCACTTCTACCTCACTTCTACGTGACTGGAATGATACGGTGGATGGAAGAAATCCTGCACCACCTTGGACGATTGAAACCCTACAAATAATGGGATAAACTACCTATGAACTGGTGCAGGATTTCGCAACCATCCACAGTAGTAGAGACAACTATCATCAACTATCCCAATATTTTGCCGAACTATTCAGGTTCGTAACAAATTTTGATCTACCCAATTTTTTAAAGCCATTTCTTGGGATGATAATGAAGCCATGGATAACAGCGACCTTACTGGCCGGGGGTCATCCATCGTTATTTCTTCGATTTCTTGGAACTCACCATTCTATCCAATTATTGTGTTTTTAGGCTGTAAATAATTAATACATAATTATAATATATATATATATTATAGCTCAATGTTTTTTTCGTAGCGGCAGATCCGGCGCACAGCGCCATCCCCAACAAAAAACCATCAATGGCTGCCAGAAACTATCACTTTAACTCTATACATGCTGGTTGTGGCGGTGAATCCCACATTGATCCCAATTCACAGATCATCCTGCTGATTTTGTCCGCTGGGATTAGGAATTGAAACGCCCTCCTTGCAGATGTTTCTGGGTGCCGTTTGTGCTTTGCTGGCCCCTGGACTGATTTATGGACCGGAGATGCTTCGGAACTTGTCGTGCTGGCAGTGGTGAGCCTCAATGAGTTTGCATGTAGGATGATATAGGAATAATAACAGTACTATTATGAGGAGATGGGAATAACATGGAAATATAATAAGGAGTATTGTTATTGGATTTTATTTGAATATAGAATGGAGATATACAATGGTAATATAATCCCGTCCCCCTAATATTAAACATCCCGAATACGTGGATTCATTACCTACTAAACCATGGTTTGTGAACATGTTTTATCTTAGTAAGAAGATCTTGCCAAACGTTCACATTGGGTTTGCCATGGTATGATGTCTGCTGATGATCTTGAAGTTAAAACCGCAGAGACTTCCCATTTACCCTCTGGTAAACATACAAAAAGCTATGGAAAATCACCATTTTATAGTTGGGAAAATCAACTATTTCTATGGTCATTTTCCATCGTTTTTTTGTATGTTTACCAGGCCGGGTACCCATTGCCAGTCACTTTTTAACCAGTCAGTAGTACGACCACGCAATTCCGGGATTCTTGGGTTTCGGCGTACGTGATTTTTTTGCTGTGAATCGTCAGCAGATGATGACATCATGACATCCAATTCCCGCCAAAAGGGTGGATATATAATGATATATATATATATAATTCTATGTATATATAAATCTCTTTATACATATAATTCTATATATATATAATTCTGTATATATATATATAATTCTATATATAATTCCAATCACACTTATATGGGTTATATCCCAACCTATGGAGGTTCTCACAAAGGGTTTTACCCATTTTCTTCACTTCTATTCACCGCAGCTCCAATGCGTATTCCCCGGTCAGGTCTATGTCTACGTTTTTTTCAGCACTTCTGCCATCCTCTCCTTGTTGGTAGCCTCTCAACTGCACTAAGAAAAAGTGCCATGGTACTGGGCCCAAGTTATTTGGGGAATAATCAGTTCATTTTCATAGGGATTTATATACCCATCTCCCATACAGGGTGGGGTCCTATAGTCAGCTGAGTTGTTTTGGAAGTCCAATAACTAGGCTGGATTAGGGGGATACAACCATGTTGTCTTCAGGGGATTATCGATATTTATGGATATGTATGGATTTTTATGGATGTTTGTGGTAGATATAACATGATACAACTATAGTTAATGGTGGTTACAAACTGGGGGGGCATCATCCCATAATGTTTGGAGTTTGGATTCATATACGATCTTTCGACCATGGCACACATGAATAGCAGGTATTGGCACGGTGCCAACCCCCCACTTGAGCAGCGAAGAAGCAGCTTCATCAAACATTCATGGTTGTTTTCGCCGTGAATTCCTGAAATTGTCTGCATGTCAGGCCCTGTGGTTTTGTGTTTTGTGTTTTTGTGTTTAGGTGATGCATGTTTTTTAGTGTCGAACTCTTCACCAGTTGGTTCACCATGGTGTGGAAAATACACCTCAATTCTCTGGTGCTTAGTTTTTCATGTTTCTTCAACAATACTTGTGATGTCACGAGCACATATTGGTGGTATGGGTTACCCTCCGGTAATCAAACCTGGTAGCCCTGGACGCAATCGGAAATCCACGAACTAAATGAAGCTTTGTAGCTGGGAAAATCAACTATAAATTGGTGATGTTCCATTGCCACGTTTGATTACCGGAGAGTATAACATGTTACAACCACCAAGCCGCAATTGTATTGCGCGTGTTTGCTGCGACATCACCAAAAATGATTGTTGTTTGTTCATGGGGTGGAACTATCGCAACATGGCTTTTTTCAGGTTGGTGAATTACTATGATCTATCCGTATCCACATTTACATGGAAACACATAATTAATATATATATATATGTACACATGTACATAATATATCTATTATTTATATATATATATGTACATATGTACCTTGACATTTACTGTGGACACTCATCCTACGAGGCTGGCCCATCTCGTACTTCACTAAACGATCCGAACGTTTGAAGTGAGTAATTAACCGTCTACACCAAGATGAAAGCATGTATATTTGCATACATGCATGCATGCATACAGACAGACAGACATACATACATACATTAACACATACATACATACATACCTACCTACATACATACATACATTCATACATACATTAATACATACATACATTAGTACATACATACATTAATACATACATGCATTAATACATACATACATACATTAGTACATACATACATGCATGCATGCATACAGACAGACAGACATACATACATACATTAACACATACATACATACATACCTACCTACATACATACATACATTCATACATACATTAATACATACATACATTAGTACATACATACATTAATACATACATGCATTAATACATACATACATACATTAGTACATACATACATTAATACATAGATGCATTAGTACATACATACATTAATACATACATACATACATACATACATGCATTAATACATACATACATACATACGTACGTACATACATACATACATACATTAATAATACACAATTGTGTTTATTACATTCCATGTATACTCCATGAAACTCTATGTATGTGTTGGTCATATGATGCATTTGCATGTTTATACATTTACTATGTATATGTATGCAATTTATGCACATTCAGCATTTTTTTGACACAAATATATAATATTTGTATATATATTATTATATTTATACTAGTATCTCAATATCTCTTTGAAATGTTGATGCATATACATTATATAATATATATATATATGTACAAAGATATTTTACTATCCAAATGTGTTTCTGGTCTCCACAAATGGGCTGCGCTTCCCGAGGTCAGCGTCACCACGTTTTCCCTTCCGTGGTTCGCAGGCTTCGTCGTGGCCTGGCGATACAGGGAGATTGCAACGGCAGCCAGAAATGGGTTGTGAAAAAATCGCCTGGTTGATTGGCGAGCTTTTTGGTTAAGTATGCTTTATGGTAGATATATCGAAATATGTTACTGTTATGGTAGATGTATCGATATACTTTATGGTTTTTGGTTAAGTATGGTTTACGGTGAACAAAATATATTGGTTTACGAAATAAACTATAAACCACCCATAGTATGGTTAATATATATATATATACCATAAACATCCATATGAACATTTTTTTGAACAAATCCTGTGGACGGTTGCGAAATCCTGAATCCAGTTGAATCCGATGGTAAACATCCCATTGTTAGGGTGAAAAGCAATCCTTTTGGTGCAGGATTTCGCAACCACCGTAGCTTAAGTATAGTTTATTTATGTTGATGGTGTATATATATATATATAGCGAAGAAATAGGATGGTTTATGTTCAAACATACCATGGTTGATTGGTTTTGGTGGTTCGTTCGAGAGAAAACTCTTCGTTCTCGAAGGGTTCAGCTGGGGATTGATTGGTTCCTGACCCATTTTTTCCATCGGGACCATGGAAGCCATGACAAAACCAACGGGACGTACCCGGCCTGGTAAACGTACCCATTTATAACTGTTAGTTGGGCAGTAACTGCATTAACCAATTGTGTTATGATTTATCACTGGGAGATTTATGTAGGTTACAACATGTTACCCTCTGGTAAACTAACATAACTATGGAAAGATCCACCATTTTCAATGGGTAAATCAACGAACTAAATGGGACATTTTCCATAGCAAACTGTTGACATAACCAGAGGCTATTTCATGAGCCGGGTAGTGACGTCGCTGATTTTGTTTGGGTCGTGAGATGTTTTTTGGGAGATCTGGAAGTGCAGTGAGTTCCACTGAAATCAGTGGATAGATTGCGACATAATGGGGATATCGCGAGATATACAGTAGTCCTTAGGTGGGATATGTATAAATATATATATATATATATATACTGACCTGTTTTTATGATAGTTGAAAAGGTGGTACTGAATGTTTAGGCATCGTTGGACAGAATGGTCACCCACCAGTATTCGCTACTGGTACGAATGGAGGCATTCTTGAAACGATCACTACAGGACTACAGGTGAATGGGGTACCCCTAGGACACTCTCTAGCATTCTGCAGGAAACTAGTGAAATAGTTGATACTGCTGGAGACGGGAGGTAAGCCCAACTAACACCCAATGGAATTAGCACAAGTTGAAGATTGTCAAAAAAGGAAGACAAACAAAGCCCCAGTAGCTGCAGACAAATTACACTACCTTTCGTTGCATGATAGTGGGACACTGCCCCAGATGAATGGAGCCCAAAGTTTAAATGAATGGGATGGTTGAAAATTGAAATGCTTTGGAAGGTCTTTTGAACTCCCTTGTCAACGCTTTTTGTGGAGACCCAGCCAGTGAGAAAAAACACACACACTAGATGAAGCTACCAGTAGCGACTGCGCTTGTGGAGTTTTGGCGTCGCTGGACCACCCTAAATCGAGCGTTCTAACAGGGAGCGAACGTCACTCCCTGTTAGAACACTCACTACCGGTAGCGACTGCACTTGTGGAGTTTTAGAGTCGCTGGACCACCCTAAATCTTGCGTTCTTCTCAGTACAACCCCAGCGAAAACACAAGATGATCCTTGGGTCGATGATTCCGGTGGCACCCTTAGAACACTCACTACCGGTAGCGAGCGTTCTAACAGGGAGCGACCGTCACTCCCTGTTAGAACACTCACTACCGGTAGCGAGCGTTCTAATGGAGTTTTTCCGTCGCTGGGGCACCATCAATCTTGCATTCTTCTCACTAAGACCCCAGCGAAAACACAAGATCATCCCTGGGTCGATGTTTCCCAACCCTCCCTTAGAACACTCACTACCGGTAGCGAGCGTTCTAACAGGGAGCGACCGTCACTCCCTGTTAGAGCACTATTTATCTTATTAGCACCATTTTTTTATACATTTTGAATCCCCAAATCACTACCGGTAGTGAGCGTTCTAAGGGCTCCACATTGACAGAATTCCCAATCCACTACCAGTAGTGAGCGTTCTAAGGGCTCCCCATTGACAGAATTCCCAATTCACTACCGGTAGCGAGCGTTCTAAGGGCTCCCCATTGACAAAATTCCCAATTCCTATTCACTACCGGTAGCGAGCGTTCTAAGGGTTCCCAAGTCACTATCGGTAGCGAGCGTTCTAAGAGTTCCCAATTCACGACCGGTAGCGAGCGTTCTAAGGGTTTCCATTCACTACCGGTAGCGAGCGTTCTAAGGATTCTCAATTCACTTTCGGTAGCGGCAGCGCGTGTTTTAAGGGACCCAATTCACTACCGCTAGCGAGCGTTCTAAGATGTTCTAAGGGTGCCCAATTCAGACCAGTAGTGAATGTTGGTGGAGTAACCGTGGTGTCCAAAGATGCAAATATACAGTACCACCTTTTCAACTATCATAAAAGCAGGACAGTATATACAGTATCTATAATATAATTGTATTTATTGTATATATACATATATATATAACCAACAAGAACTATAATTAGGTGGGAATATAATAGGACTATGTGGGGATATAGCGTTACATGTATATGTATTTAAATATGACCAACAATGTGATGTACGGGTTCTGCTTGTTTCCCTGATGCGATATTGGATAGTCAATAATGGAGGAGGATAGCGCCAATTCTAGTCTAGGTTCAATCATCGGAAACCAGAGGTTACCAATGAAAATGTAAAACTATGGGATATCAATAAGGCTGTCACGGGGAATATAAGCAACTCTAACCAAGGTATCGAGTATTACTCCAACCAATGAATACTGGATATGGTGATCTATTTGGGATATAATGACGACAATGGGAATGTACTTGGAATATACTATAATTGGATTTAACTAGCAATATGATAGATGGGTTTGTTTGAGACTGGAGTGAAACAACCCACATGGCAATTTTGATACAAACACATGATAGACCAGTTGATTGTGGGGTGCCATATTTCAGACTAACTCAGATGAACATATTACTGCGAAATTGTCTATGGAAAAACTGTATATCCTAAAGAGAATGGTTCTGGATTGTTCCTTGGGACATGACAGTCTATGGAGATATTGCTTATTTACTAGTTTTTTTTTTAATATGGGAGATATATGGAGATATTGTGTTTATTGTGCGAGGTTTTCATTTGGATAGTGTAAAGGTCTAGTCTCAAAGATCAGCGAGTCACAAACGGCAACAAGGTTCAGACTGTTTGACCATGCGAGGGATGAATACAGAGCAGTGTCCAAAACCATCCGAGGTCGGTTTGTTGTCAATCTTGGGATTCTAACCAGTTGATCCCAGGGATCCCAGGGATCCCAGGGATCATTTGTTAATCCTTTAAGTTTAAATATAACTATAGATAAATGCAGATCAAAAATACCTTTCATCAAATTTTGCAATTGGAAATAGTCAAACCAAACGGATGGATTTTCCGTTGCCATCTCTGATTAAGGGATGGCAACTCCTGATCCCATATTTGCCAAGAGATACCCGGTAGGTGGGGTTACAATCGCTAGATTCTTCGAACTTTAATCATGTGTTGTTTATCACCTAATGGCTTTGGGGGCATGGTATTTCAAGTAATTAGATGTAATTAGCAGAAATGCAGGCCAGCCATTTGTGAATCCAAAATGGTGCCCCAGTCAGTCTAATGCATCAGTTTGCTGAATCGTTTCTTTTTAGAAATGTGTATCCTCTGGTCAACTGATCTCGAAATCAGATGTGCTTTTCTTTTTTGAGATGTGTTTTGTTCTGTCATGGAATGGTATGTTTTGTTTTTTTGTCTAAATGCGTTTGTCAGTTTGATTGGCGTTGTTGATCCCAGAAAGTCCGAAAGTCAGAATAATGTGGAATTCACCCAGTGTCATAATAAATCCTCCCCAATATCGCCACAATTCAATGGCTTGTATGATGTAGTATGTTTACCACGCCCAAGTGGTAGGTTTATGGCATTGGCTTGTTCAATAGCCTTATAGCTAATATTTGCCAAGCTTTTGTTTTTTTTCCGCAGATGAGGTATGCTTTACTCTGCTGTTGCTACAGATGCTTAGCTCAGCCGTGCCAAACCGTGGCGCCGGGCGCCGTGATGAAACCCTTAAACTCCACTACTGGTAGTTTCATGGTTGTTGATGTGAAAAATCATACTTAAGCCATTAAAAATACCATAGTTGATAGGTTATTTTTTGCGGACTATACTATCTGGTTTTTCTGGGGGGATTACAATCAACAATCATATTGTGGGTAAAACCAATGCCATTAACCATCCCCCAGTCATGGGTGGTTTATGACATTGTTTTACACACATTATTGTTCAATCATACTTGGGATGATGATCGCTAGTTTAGTAGATTTTATATTCAGCCATAGGAATACAATGGGATACAGACTATCCTCTGGTAAACGTTTACATAACTATGGAAAATCACCATGTTCAATGGGAAAACTCACTTTTTCAATGGCAATTTTCAATAGCTATGTTTTACATAACCAGAGGGTACCCAGCTATTGAAAGTGTTTGGCTTTGTCTCAAAGGTAACCATCGGTTCATCAATAACCTGGGGAGTCAGCCCTCCATGGAGACATCCAAATATCATATGATGGTTATATCCATTTATTTCCCATGTTATATACCCATCATATCCCTATTATATCATCAACCATATATATATACATATATATATACACACCCAATTCTACAGTATACTTATCTATCCTTATTATTCAGATGGTTGCTTCCCTATCTCTATGTTTTAGACCTATTGTATATATATATACAGGATGGTGCCCCCCCAGTGATGTTAGTTGGTTTATAAACCCCATGAATACTAGTTCGTTATATCTGCCATGAACCAGAGTGACATGGGAGTTATAAACGCACCACCTCAGCGATTCCGAACTGGGGCACCACCGAGAGTATCAACTCATCACCTTTTTTGGGGGGACATCTTCCCACCGAAACATCGCCATCGCCTCAAAAAAGAAAAGGACTTGGACGCTCTTCCGTCACCACGGCTGTGATCGCTGAGAAATGCGAAAATGCGAAGGAGTACAGCCGTGGGTGTGTCTGAAAATGGATACCCATTTGGAGGTTTCCATCGTCATGGGGATGGGGATATCCCTATGACTAGGAAACCTCCATTCAATGGCCATTTGAATGGTGATGATAATTTGATAATCCATTGCAAATTGGAGGAGCCTACAGAGCCATGTTGCCATTGTGTCACTCAAACATGTTTCATCACTCTATGGCCATGTAACGAAGCATTCAAATGGCGAAAAACATGATGTATTCCCGGAATTTACAGTACGGCACACCTGAAGCTATGAGTTTTATCCCTAAAATACGCGGGGTGTTGACCTCAAAAAAATACGGACTTCATCATCATCAAACATGTGGAATTCACTTAAATTGAGCTGCAGGCCAGCAAAGACGGGAATGATAAAGTTCGGATACATAGTACATGTATGTACATGTAAACTACAATATGTTAATGATATATATATATTCCGTATATTTCCATATATTAATAGCATGTCAGGCATGTCCAGTTGGATTCAGACCCCACTACGACCTCACCGATGTAATTTGCCAATGTTCTTTGTGATGGAACAGGTTTATGATCTACTGATCTACTATGCTAAACTATGCTAAACTATGATAAACTATGCTAAACTATGCTAAACCCAGTTTTCCATAGGCTCTCATTCTTCAAGTCTAACATGATACAGGACTGGATTTGTCAAAAAAAATGCGAAGGAAACAGACATTTTAAACCTGAACTATTTTGGGTATACCGATACCCAATTTTCAAACACACATATATACATATATACACTATATATATATACACACTATATATATACATACATGCTATATTTTTGTGTGGTTTTGAGATTTACCACACCACTATTAATTGATGCTTGTTTGTTTAATCGAATTGGTGCCAATAGTGGTCGCTGGGGATTTCGCAACGCGACCTTACTGCTTTGATCGTTACGATCTAAGGGTAAACTATCCCTTAAAATCGCCAAACATGGAAAAGGTTAGTGAAATGATATAGAATCCCAGGTACTTAGTAGTTATAATCCATGTTTCTCCCGGAATTCCATCTTGGTTTCTCTGAAAACAGTGATTCAATCTACTGAACTGTGAAAAAAAGGTGAAAACGGTGATGAAGTAATTTTCGGAAAATGATGAACTTTATAGCTTCATGGGACATGTTTGTTTCCATAGCTATGGAACAAATCCACCAGTTTTAAGTGGTAAATCAACGATTTCAATGGCCATGGCTTCAATAGCAAATTTGATGATTCACTCCATGTAGATCCATCGATTTTCGCAAATTCCGCTGGGATGTTCCGTTCATTTCTGTTACACCGACATCTTCAACTTGAGCTCCAAGCAATTCCGCCTCTGAATGGCAGAAAATCCACGGAATTTGCGAATGGCAATGAGCCGTGGATGGCAATGATGGCAATGATGAATGTGGTTTCACGAAAAAAGGATCCCCTGTTACTCGAGCACGATGAAAATGTTGCCAGATCCAGTCGGGAAAGCGCGGAAAATGAAGGGGAAACCACAGATGAAAAAACTAAGGCCCAGCTAAGGGTTAACTATGGGGTAACCATGGGATAAGTATGATTTGAGGTGGATTCAGAATAAAAAGTATAAAATAATGATGATTATGTGTTTGTTTATTTGATTGGTGGTTTCAGAATGTTTCGTTTCTTTTTCATAGAAATGATATGACGATGCCCAATGACAAGCAGTTTTTTCAACAAGATTAAAATCACACAGTTCGATGTTGCCAGTTGGGTTACTCATGTGGGTTTAAGATTGTTCAACCAAAATCGGGAGATGTAACAGATAGGTATATATATATACAATATATATATATATACACAATATATATATATATATATACAATATATATATATATACAATATATATATATATACAATATATATATATACAATATATATATATATACAATATATATATATATAAATACAATTATATATACAAATTGGCTCATATACATATATTGGGACTTGGATATTGTGATGTCACACGTTTTTTTTCATGGGATCTTACATGATTTAACGGTGGCAGGTATCAGGCATTGGGATTAATGGGGTTAGAAGTCACCAACTGGGGGCATAGGGCAGAAAGTGGACAGATACTGTAGTTTTCTTTCTACAAATGGCGATATCTTAAGCAAACCAACTTTTTTTGTGGTGTGGGTATCTAAGATTGGCCATGTCATTGGAATATCACTTTTCATCGTAGAATCCATGGTTTCTGGTTCCAATGTTCGCTGCAACCAATCCCTTGGTATTCACCACCTGCACCAAAGTATCAGAGCTAGTGCAGTTGTTCCTATTTCTACGGGAGAAACTGGCCATCTCTAAACACGGGAGTTGGATGAAAAAAAATATGGGTTGTACTACGCTTTGTGCATTGCGGATCGTCATATCACCGAAATCAGAGTCATGTGCCGCGCTTAAAAGATGGTCATCCATTTACAGTAAAGGGATTTTAATATACCGGTAAGAATTTTCATATGGATGACCCAATAAACCATCTGGTTGTTGGTTTGGAACATTTGGATTATTCTCCATTTCATATATGGGATGTCATCCGAAACCCATTGACGAAGTCCATCATTTTTCAAGATGGCAGGTATACCACCAACCAGCCATTCATCTAATCGGACTGTGTTGTCCATGGCACATCCCTGGAATCGGAATTTTGTGTAAGTCAACCATCCGGTTGAGAACGTCAGGTCATCCGCTGTTTGCTGATCGTACCCTTTCCCGAGTCAGCACTCAATGAAGAGGCGGATTTGGGATTGCACCCTCCGGTAAACTAACATAACTATGGAAAATAATGATGTTAATGGCTAAATCAACTATTTCTATGGCCATTTTCAAAAGCTATGTTAGTTTACCAGAGGGTAATTCATTTAACATTCAACATGTACGTACTATATAACCATTAACTGTTTTCCATGGAATGTACGTTGTATGTTAGGTGGGCCATATTTAACTGTTAATTCACAACTGTTTTCCAATCTATGCTACAGTTATGGCCCACCTAACAGTTATTTTGATGGGTTTATGAATCATGACATATATATATATATACCATGGGGTTCCAACGGGTGGCGCTATGATGCCAAAATCTAAGTTCTCATCCGGGTATGTCACCACGACACCCCTTAACCAAATCAAAACAAACCACTAATAATAATACAAAGGTAGTGGTACATATATGTTGGAAATCCTAATGTACAATATACAGCCCGAGAGCTGGTTAAGAATCCGAAAGCTTGAGGTCCAGGGCCCCTCAAATTCTTATTTTTAAATACAGGCAAATTTACACTACAACAGGCCGAGGGTCCCTCAAATTCTTAAGGCATTCTTAATATTATATTGCAGGCATCTGCACAATTTGGAGCAAGCTTAAACAAGGTAACGAGGTGGAGTTGGCAGATTTGACTATTCATGCGAAAATATGTCTCCAAAATCGAGCTACAGCACGATTTTGCGTTATACCAGGGTTTTGGCCGCGCTGGGCTCTGTCGTGGCCGGAATCCTGCATAGCTGTTCCGGCTACGCTGGTTTTTGGCCTTGGTTGCTTGCAGCGAAGCGGCGGCGCCAGGAAAACGCAAAAACGCGCGTTATACCGTTGTTTTGGCCGCGCTGGGCTCTGTCGCGGCCGGAATCCTGCATAGCTGTTCCGGCTACGCTGGTTTCCGGCCTTGGTTGCTTGCCGCGGCGCCAGGAAAACGCAAAAACGCGCGTAGATCGACGATCTACGCGGCGCGCGTTTTTGCTTTTGAGCCCGGTTGCGCCGGGCAGAGCAGCCCCAGCGCGCATTGGAGAGGCTATGAAGGCTCGGGACCGCCGGACAACCCCGGCGGCCAAGGCTCGGCGGTTTATCCAGCGGACTAAAGTTCAGCCCCCGGCGCCGCAGCCGCGCCCAGGCTCGATTCTCCCCCGGCACGCCCTTCACAGGCTTGGGCTTGGCGTTTTTTGCTTGAAGGAAGCGAGTCATCACACGGTCAGTGTAGCAAGTCACGCATGTGGTCATGCTTGGCATTCGTTTTAATATTCATTGATATTCTCTATTCTTGCAACGCGCTTGCCAAGCAGATTTGACAAGAGGCATGCGACAATATATGTTTTTGTAGATCCTGAAAACCGTGTTTTTTTGCTAAGCCAGGCTTGTCTGAGGTCAGCGCGCAAAGAAACAACTCTTTAGAGCCTGAAAAAGTTTTCTTTTTGCAAAGCCAGGCTTGTCTGAGTTGGCATAAGGTTAAGGAGTTTGCACTGTTTGTTAACATTTTTGGGTAACACAAAGCTGTGGCCAAGCACCGCTGGAAACGCAAAACTTTGGTCGCACCATGCCTTTGGACACAGGCGGGATCGAGCTTCTACTTTTCACAATTAAGATTAAGATGCCGACGCCTTGTTCCACTAGACTATCGGCCCCCCTTTAATGGGGCAGCGCCGGGCTCCAAATTGCTAATCGTAGCCCCCCGCGCGGGTGGAGAAGGAGGCGAGTTGAGGGTGCTGGTTGGCTGCTCCTCCTGCTGCGGCTGTTGGTGCTGGGCTTCTCCTGGGGCGCTGCAGGGTGCTTTGCTGGCTGCTTGGCTCTCTGGTTGCTGGTTGCTTTGGTGGGTGGGCTGCTCGTGCGGGTGTAGACTCGAGCACCGGATGACGCATTGGATTAGTGAAAGAACCAGGATTAGGAGGATTACGGATTATGTTTGTACCCGCCTAGTTTGGAAGTCTCCAGTACAAGGCGTCACGTATAAGCAGTAATTTAAGAATTTGGCAGTCCGATTCCAGGGTCCCTCAAATTCTTAACGTGCTATTTGTTTGGTATAGCTGAAAATATATAGCCCATCTTGGAACCGGGCCCCTCAAATTCTTATACGGTGAATTCTTGTACAATACTCACGCTGTAATAATTATAGCTTGGGAACTTACCAAAGGTAATATATCACAAATTTGGTGGTTCGATGATGTTCCCAAAGATGGTGGATTTTTCCAGTTCTCAAACTGTAACAGCCACTACCAGAGGATATATCCCAATCGAAAAAAACAACAAAACATGAAATCCATGGATTATCTTAGATGATATGACTCATTACCCTGAATATATGGTTGCCCAGCACAGATACCCTCTGGCAATCTTAGACATTGCTAGC